GTCATAAGAAGGATGATGATTGTCGCATGGAATGCAAGGAAAAGGAAGCAGGAGGAAGGAAAGGAAGGGCATGGGAGAGAAAAGCATAATGTGTGTGATCTGCATGGGAAGAGGGGAGCCTCACTTGTGTTTGCTCAGAGAGACTCAAACAGGCCTCCTTGCGTATCATACCCTCCTTCGCATTCTGGTAAGTACCCGGTGGCTAGGGAAAAGCACATCCTTTCAAAGATGCTGTCAGGGTAGCCGAAGGAGGGAGCCCTCTTAGCTGCTGCCTACTTAAGGCTATGGATGGTCCAGAGTCAGATTCCTGGCACAGCACTGCCGAGTTCAGCTCCACTGCTCCACTGGACAACCCTCTTGGGAGCTCAGGACCATAGGAGAGCTGGTGGGAGGGGGTAGGGAAGGAAGATGGTGTGGAAGAGAAAACTCCATCCTTAGCCTTTGAGTGGGGTCATTATTTGTTACCTATTTAGAGACTTTTCTTCCAGGTTCTCAAAGTGGTAGACATCCTTATGAGATGGTCCCCAGGTAGGGAGAGTTTGCATTGTAATTTAGAGTTATCTAACAATCAAAGTAGAGACTTCCTGGGGAGAAGAACCTGTGGGCATTTACATTTTACTGTTATAACCACAACTTAGGAGTTCTTAGTCTAGGAACCTGGGTTAGAGGAAAGTAAACAGCCCAGAAGCTTACTCCACTGAACTGTGGTGAGCTCTGGGAGATGTGGGTGTGGAGGCCCAGCAACCACGCTGAAGCCAAGATGTCCAAAGGTACGGAGAACCTCACTAAGTAGGGCTGGCTTGGCACAGGAGCAGAGTCAGGGTGGGCTAGAGCCTGTACGTAGACCCCCACCACTGATTCTTCAGCTGTATTTGCAAGCCCTCGGGCAGTAGCCAGGTGTGAAGGTAAATCATCTGGAGAAAGAATGGGGTGGGTGCGTAGCCACCTATCTCATGCCTTGTGCTGAGCACTGAAGCGGTGTGTGAGCAGAGTGCAGAGAGAAGCACACGGCATGCTCTCCAGCTTCCATCTCTGAAAAACTTGGTCACTGAGAAATCAGTGAAGACAAGTCATTACTGCAAACACCCTTGCTTTAGCTGAATGGCTAGTTTCTTGGCTTGGGAATCCTATCACCTGGATTGTCATTTTTATTTTTTCCATTAGTTTTTTTAAAAAACTGGACTAAGAAGATGATAAGATACCATGTACCAGGCACTGGGTTAAGCATTTTCTGACTATTAAAGCCTCACATTCCTGAGCAAGTGAGGTTTCCGAGTTTTATGAGAATTTCCTAACTTATAAACTAATACAATTTTGAATGAGCGCAAAGAGTCCCAGGGTCCTACTGAGAAATGAAAAAGTCAAAGTACTGAGAATCCTTGAGACTATCATGA